TGGGAAAAATGTTACTTCATGGTTCGTGAGGGTATTGTGCTAGGCCACAAAATTTCTTCAGAAGGTATTGAAGTAGATCAAGCCAAGATAGAGGTTATTGAGAGAATGGCTCCACCTATCAATGTGAAAGGAATTCGCAGCTTTCTTGGATACGTGGGATTTTATCGGCGGTTTATTAAGGATTTCTCAAAAATTGCTAAACCTTTATGTGAATTACTTGCAATAGATGTTTCTTTTCACTTTAATGATGAGTGTTTACTTGCTTTTAATAGGTTGAAAAAGGAACTTGTCTCCGCACCTATAATAGCATCACCGGACTGGAGCTTACCATTCGAATTGATGTGTAATGCAAATGATTTTGCAGTTGGAGTTGTTATTGGGCAAAAACATGATAAGCGACTTCATGTCATTTATTATGCAAGTAAAATGTTGAATGAAACCCAAGTTAACTATGCAACAACAGAGAAGGAGTTGCTAGCAGTGATTTTTGCATTGGATAAGTTAGATCGTACTTAGTAGAATCTAAAGTTATCATTTATACCAACCATGCAGCACTCAAATATTTATTAAATAAGAAAGATGCAAAACCTCGACTAATTCGATGGATTTTATTATTACAGGAATTTGATTTGGAAATCAAAGATAAAAAAGGATCCGAGAACTTAGTTGCTGATCATCTTTCTCGACTGAAAAATATACCTCAAGAAGACCATTCATCCATTAAAGAAGAATTTTTAGATGAGTTTTTAATGGCAATTTATAAGTCACCATGGTATGCTGATCTAGTTAACTTTGTAGTTAGTGGAGTGATACCAAGTGATTTGAATTCTCATCAAAGGAAAAAATTCTTAAATGATGCTAAACATTACTTTTGGGAGGAACCGTTCTTTTATAAATATTGTGCAGATGGAATAATTAGAAAATATGTTCCGGAGGAAGAAGTACATAGTATTCTAATGCATTGTCATACTCTTGAAACGGGAGGTTATTTTAGTACAACTAAAACTCTAGCAAAGATATGGCAATCTGGATTTTATTGGCCTACTATATACCGAGACACTAGAAATTGGGTTAAAAGTTGCGATCAATGCCAAAGAACTGGTAATATCTCAAGAAAGAATGAAATGCATTTGACTACATATTTGGAAGTTGAGTTATTTGACGTTTGGGGCATTGATTTTATGGGACCATTTCTTAGCTCATATAATAATAAGTACATTCTTTTAGCAGTTGATTATGTCTCTAAATGGGTGAAGGCCATTCCTTCACAAACTAATTATGCTAAAGTTGTGCTTAAGTTCCTTAAACGGAACATATTTTGCAGGTTTGGAGTCCCAAAGGCAATAATAAGCAATGAAGGTAAGCATTTTTGTAATAAAATTATTGACACTTTGTTGCTTAAATATGGATGCAGGCATAAAAAGTCACTCTTTTATCACCCTCAAGCTAATGGTCAAGCTGAGTTGGCCAACCGGGAAATTAAAAACATTTTGGAGAAAACGGTCAACCGATCGAGAAAGGATTGGACAAACAAGCTTGAAGATACTTTATGGGCGTATAGAACGGCATTTAAAACGCCATTGGGAATGTCTCCAAATAAACTTGTTTATGGCAAAGCGTGTCATTTACCTGTAGAAATAGAACATAAAGCTTATTGGGCCATTAAAACTATTAATTTTGATTTTAAATCTGCAGGTGAAAAGAGAATGCTCGATTTGAGTGAATTGGAGGAATCACGGTTAACCTCGTATGAGAATGCCAAGATTTATAAAGAAACAGTGAAATTTTGGCATGATAAACATATTCTTCCTAAACATTTTGAAGAAGGGCAAAAGGTGTTATTGTTTAACTCAAGACTTAAATTATTCCCTGGAAAGCTTAAGTCTCGATGGTCCGGGCCATTTGAAGTGGTTCGTATGTTTCCTTATGGAGCAGTGAAAATAAAAGGAGAAAATGGTGCCCCATTCAAAGTAAATGGTCAAAGATTGAAGCTCTATTTGGCTGGAGAAAAGGTTCCTAAAGGAGTAATTTACTCCTTAGGAAACGCAATGGGGAGTTAAAAGAGCTATAGGAGAGTCGAGCTCAACGACTCTAAACAAAGCGCTTGTTGGGAGACAACCCAATAATAATATTGTAGTTGTATGTTTTTATGTGTTTCTTACATTTTAGTGTGATTTAATTGACTAATTAGATATATTTCACTTGTTTGTAGGAGGTACCGGAGTTTTATCATCCATTTTGGAAGTACACTTGAAGAACAAGTGTAAAAAGGGAGGTTTTCTTACCAAATTGTGCTTTAAGTGTTTAGCAATACCATTCAGATATACATTGTGCATTTCAAGTATATTCAAGTGAGTTTTGGTGATAACATGGTTATAAATGCTCATGGACTCATTTGATATGTATTTAATGTGTTTGATGTGTTTTGAAAAGATGGATAATGTGTTTATGATATATTACATGTGCGTCGAAGGTTAGAATTGATAAAAAGTTTATCCAAAGCGTGTTTTGGAATTGGCCAGAAAAGGGAGAAAAAGTTTGAAAAATTGCAGTTTCTGCAATTAGTGCAGAAAAAGACAGATCCGACCTCGGATTCGAAAGACCCAGACGGATCCGACCATGGATCCTTAGATCCGAGCTCGGATCCAACAATTTCCAGAAATATACGAGGGATCGTCTGTGCTTCTGGCGGTGAGGATCCGAACCCCTATCGGATCCGAGGACTTATAGAACCGATCCGAGCTCGGATCGGTTCGCGATATGATTGGAACCGAGGGCTCGGTTCCTCATTTTTCAGCTTTCTTCTCTTTCTCTCTCCCCGAAACCCTAGCCCTCTCTCTCTAATCTTCCATTTTATCCATCAATCATCTAATTTCTCACCATAAACATCTTCCCAACCCTCAATTGATCAAAAAAACCCCAAGCTATTTCACCACAAAACATCATCAAAAGTGGGTTTTGATCATCAATAGGAAACAAAAGGGCCGAACTGATTTCTTCCATTTTGAGGCGGATTTGAGTTTGTTTCTTGTTCGTTTTTGCATTATCATCTTCCTTTATCATCACTCTACACATTTGGGGTAACAATTTTCAACTTTCTTTGAAATTTTACATTTCTCAATTCTTAATTTTTTGTATTTTTCTACAAATTTGGGAAATGCACATATGTTGGATTTTAAGGCTATAATTTTGCTACATTGTGCTAGTATATGTCATTGGAAATGCTTGCTTGTTTAGAATTGAGAAATTTGTTAATATGGTGATAAATTTTGTATAATTTTTCTCATGAAAGCACATTATACTTGTATTTGCAATTTCTTGTTTCTTTGTATAATTGGTATTTGACTATTTGAAATGAAGTTCATTTTTATGCAAATTGATGATAAATTGTAGCAAGTATAGTGGATTGTTATGTATTGCTTTGAGGGAAATAGACAAAAGCTGAAAATTGTTTGAATTGAGGATGTTTTTCGTAATGCATAAGGAGATATTGTGTTCAATTGATGATTAAGGCTTAACTTAATAGCACATTGTCTTTGATAGTCCATTTTACTTTGAGATAATATTCTATGCTTGCAAATGATTTTAAATCTCACACATTTGGATTTATCATGTGAGGGTTGATTTCCTTATTGAAAATATATCTTCTAAATGTTAAAAGTGGATTTGAGAATGTGTTAAGCAGAGTATTTGCTTCAATTTGTTGATTGTTGGCAGGGAGCTTTGTCCTTTTACAAGGGGAAACTCTGCCGAAATTTTTTTAATTTACTTTTCAACATTTTTTTTTGAAATGTATTTTCAAGAAATTTAGATTGCTTTTAATGTGCATTGATCTTGTTCTTGATATAGGCACAATGGTTCGCACAAGAAGGGCTATTATTCGCACTCCTTCCCCCTCTTCAAGCGAGGAACGCACTCCCTCACTTGAGGAGACACCAGTGGAGGACTCCCCTTCACCTGACTCACCTCCACGCTCACGGCGTAAGACAGCGTTCACTAGCCGTGATGAGCCACTTCCGGATTATGATACCACTAGATTCACGTCACTCGAGAATCAACAGTGGTACGAAGCAAGCTTAGATAAGGAAATTATCATTGAAAAGCACATGGCACCGGAGGTGAATGTGCACTACCACATCTCTACGGCATTCAAGAGACTCGGATGGGAGAACACCCTTCAATTGCCCAAGCATTACTACCCCAATCTGGTCCGGGAATTCTACGCCAATGTAGAAAACAAACAGAGCCACAGTGGCAACCTCATCGTCTTGTGGGTTCGAGGTAAAAGAGTGGCTCTCAATCGGGATACAATCGCCAAATTCGTCAAACTCAAGGACGATGGAGAAGACGTGAAATTGACCAAGGAATTCAAGGCATGTGATCCTTGACAAGTAGGAGAAGCTGTGTCACGTTTTAAGGGTCAATACCGTGAGCGAGAAAGTTCTAAAAAGCTCATAGTGTATGCGGATTCTTTCGAACCTCGGTACCACTTGATATTCTATCTTTTTGCTTTCAATGTGGTACCGAAAAGGAGTGGAAAACGAGAGCTCCGCAACAGTGACCTCTACTTCCTGGACAAGATGATGAACGGAGTAGGTCGCCAGCTAACTGGAATACCTCTGTGCAGCATCATCATCAGCTACGTGCGGACCACCGCTCAAATGAGGGCCGGCGAAACCTACTTTGGGTTCCCTCGCCTTCTCTCCCTTCTATTTGAGAAGCTCAAGGTTCCTCTCGCAATCGAGCGAGCCACTATCACTAGGGCTACCGAAGAGGTCAGTGCCTCGATACTCAAATTTTTGGGTATCCCTACGGATTTTGGAACTGCTCTAGTTCGGGACACTGGAGAAGCATCAACTTCCGCTCAGCCTCCATCTTACACTGAACCACAAGCGAATGCTCAAGAGACGGAAGCACAGCAGACTCTTCCTCTTCCTGTTGCACGACCACCACCTCCGCAGCGATCCAAGTGGCAAGAGCTCCTCAATGCCATTTGATGTATGGAGACACGAGTCGTCGAACGCATTGACCAGACCGAGCGGATGATGACAGAGCGACTCGACAGACATGATCGCCGTCTTCGTGCGATCGAGGATTATTTTCATATCCGCCGGTCACCTACTCCGATGCCTCAGCAGGAGGAGAGACATATTGGTACCTCACATGGTCCTCATGGAGCAGAGGAGGTAGTAGACCCTCGTTCCGAGCAGCCATGAAGCTCCTTAACGGATTGGATCTTTTATTTCTTTATTTGTCTTTTCTTCTGTTAAGATATATTTTGTAGATTTTATTTTATTTTTGGCTCATCTTGTGCTACTTATGTTTCTTCGTACCTTTTGTTTCACTTTGGCCAGAATTGGGATGATCGTGAGGATTAAGAGCTTCAAATTGCATCACCATCTATTTAAGGGAAGTTTCAGTTTCTTTTACCTTCCTCTACAATGAGGACATTGTGAATTTTAAGTGTGGGGGAGGGATTACCTTATCTTATGGATGATTGTGTCTTGAAATGCATGATTTTAGTTGTCTATGGCTTAAAAATGTTGGATTTATATTTGGAAATATTGTCATGAGGTTAATTTTCTTGAAATTGAGGTTGTTGACAGGGAGTTTTGTCCATTTTTATGGGGAAACTGTGTCAAAATTTTTTCTAAAATATTTTTCAATATTTCAAGTTAATGGCCAAAATGTTCAATTTTAAGTGTCTAATTCTTTCATTGGATAAAATGTTATATGTATTTTGGGAAAGTTTAGTCCTTATTTGACTTGGAATTAGTCATTATGCAATTAGGATTTGTATATTTTAGGAAGTATATTTGGTTAAATAAGGAAAATTATGCTTAAATTTTGCACGTTTAATGATATTTCTCATTTTTACTTAATTTTATAAGTAAGTGATTGATATAGTCAAGACAAGGCCAGATTCTTCCTTTAATTTTGCTCAGAGGGAAAAGAAAAAAAATTATTGTTAAAAAAAAGGGAGAAAAAAAAAATATATATATATATATTGATATTATTTTCTACTCCAATAATTCACATACTAAGTAACCGGGGGTTGGCATTTACAAATGTCTACATTCGCGTAAAAAGGTATTGGAATTAAGAGTATGCTTAGCAATTTGAATAAGTGAAATGTTGAGTAATCGGGAATCTTCACCTAAAAGTGTCGATTTTCGCGTAAAAAGACATTTCTACTATTTAAGTAAAATGAAGTATGAATAAATCCCTCTTAGTTATGAAAATTTTGATGGTTATGGGATGAGGAAGGCCATAGAATTGACTATGAGATTTACTTATTCGTGAAATTAGGATAGAATGAGAGATTGATTTGAAGTTGTTAAAATTAAGGCATAATTATCTTTCTTTAACTTGATATTATGAGTATTTAGTGTAATCTGAGAAATGGCATAATGATTGGTTTCTAGGTTTTTGAGGAATTAAATTTGACAAAAGTACGCATATTATTTTATCTATCGAATCATTGAAATAAATTTTGTGCAAATTACTTGAGGACAAGCAACGATTCAAGTGTGGGGGAGTTTGATAAGTGAATATTTAACGTATATTTTGTGTAAGTTTGGCATGAACTTTTGGTATGTTTTGAGAAGATTAAAGCCATATTTGAACTCTTTTGGTGATAATTGCTTAAATATTGTTTAAGTGTTCAAAACTTGATAAATGAGTGGATTAATGCGTTAATTTTGTGAAATTGTGAAGGATATTGATGTATGAAATTCATGCATGAGATGAAGGAAATGTAAGGATCGTCCAGAGGATAAATTACACAAGAAATTAGGAGCAAAAGTGAAGAAAAAGGAAAAGAAGTGAAAAACTGGAAAAAAGACCAGCCCTCGTTGTGTGAATCAAGGAAGATCCGAGCCCTCGTCTGTACTTCTGGAGTAGTGTATTCGAGAACAAAGGATCCGAGCTCGAATCCCTCAGAGAAGGCCTCGGATCAGCATTGATCTGAGCTCGGATCTAACTTCACCCCTCGGATTCGAGGCTCGGATTTGCCTCTCTTTTCTACAAGTGGTACAGCCGTTTTTTCTCACTTTTCACACAACTTTTTAGCTATTTGGAGTGAATGAATTCGGTGCACATGCTTCAGAAGACAAAAGGGTAGATAATATGGTTTATTTTCAAGTAAAAAACATTGGTTATTGACTATCCTAACAAAGTTGAGATTTGGGAATCAAAAGGTGGAATTTGACTTGGAAAAATGGATGCTCCTGAGCAGTTTTTATGCAGAGACATTGGGAGAGGTCAGAGGATATACATAGCTAGTTTTCCTTCTTGTAACTAGTTTTCCTCTCTAGCTAGGAGTTCCTTGAGAAGCATTTTGGAGTTTTTACTTGTAATCATCTTTTACAAGAACATAGCAGAAATTGGAGGGTTTCACCATCAATTGGCTAAGTTTTCTTTTATCTTTCTTGTACTTGTACTTTATAATGTTTTGCATTAATAAACTTGTGAGTTTGGTTGTTAAATCATTCATGAGTAGCTAAACTTCTTTATTTAGGGAGTAGATGAAACTTATGGGTAAATAATATGAATTGAATGTGATTTACACTTGTTATATCTTGTATTAACTTGTCTATTTGTGCAGGTAGAAATTACTTGTTATTGCTTGATCACCAATAGCATGTTTATAGTTGTTATTGTTCAATGAGAATTGGTAGTAACAATGGAAACACATGAGTAGAGCTTAAGTTGTATGTTCATGAAAATAGAGATACACTTAAATGGATTACTTAACATTTCATGAAAGAAAACAGAGTAGTAGTAGTATTTCACCATGAAAATAGGGAAAACTGTTTTGCTCTAGGCCATTTCATCATGAGAATAAGATTTGGTAATATTGGAAATGAATCTCTGGTTAAACAAGAATAATAACAAGAGGTAAATCTATTCATTTGTATTGTTTATGCCATAAGTGGAATCTACATCCCTAGATTCAATCTTTAGTGAAATTTCTCCATTTGCATTTAACATTGATTAAACCAGAGTTGTAGGCAATAGCACTGTAATTTTCTTGCTCAGATTTATTGTAAGTCTAAATAGTAGAGAAAAATAAGGAACTAGTACTTGTTTAAATTGCTCCTCGTGGGATCGACCCGATACATACCCTATATTATGATTTCGGCCTGTATACTTGCACTTAATGGGTATAAAATCGGATTTAAACTTGCATTAATATAAAAATCCCGTCAAATATTCTCACAACCTTGTACTCTCCCGTAGAAGGTACATGTCCAAAACCAATTGCATGACCCCATGTTTGTGGAGAGCACTCTGGGAGGATTACAAATTGGTGAGTTACAGGATTACATAAATAAAAAGGCCCAGTTATCCCACATACAAAGTATCTTTTGTAAATACACAGTAGGCCGTTGCAGGAGGCCAACACCATGTTCCGTCCTCCACCCGTATAGTAGTTTCCTCCACCCCTGCAATATTTTCCTTCCTTGGTGAATCTTGCACAATGCTACGGCCTTCTTCATCTGCGGATGTAAATTGGAGGGTACAGCGATTTCCATCACGGGAACATGCTAAATCTTGTACGTAAAAGAAACGGAGTTTTCTCCACTTAGTTTCGCACAATTTCATGAACCAAGAATCCGATAGTAAGTTGCACCATGTCTTGCAGACACACTTGCATCTGAAAAGGGCTTTCAAAGGAAGCCTTGATAGTACGTCAGTCACTATCTCAATTGGGAGTTCTGTCATCTTCCTCTCTCAATGTTAAACTCACTCTCAAGAACTTTTCTTTTCTTTCGTATATTGTTTTGAAGAAATTCTTGCTTCAAAGTTTATGTGACTGTGCTAGGTTTAATGAGTCAGTCGATAGAGAGACTTAAAAGAACAATTTTGAAAGTAAAGCACTACAATTTAGGCTAGGATCTCGTTTTAGTTAATTGGGGATTCTGAGCATCACTTAGAAATATTGCCATAATAAATTTAATGTCCTAATTTTATGCCTAGTCATTTAAATCCTTCCATTATTTACTCACAAATTCGATTTCAATTTTCTTGCGAACACTACAACTATTTGGGCTAGGGACTAGTTTTCGATGGATAGAGGATTCTGAGTGTGTAACTTAATAATATTGCCATTATAAGGTAATTGTGGAAAAACTTTATTTTGGACTGGTCCAGCAAGAGAGCTGCATTTGAACATCCAAGGGGGAATATAAAGTGGGGTTTTGTGTGTCCAAATAACGTTATTTGTCCAAATGGATACTAGGTCCAAGATGAAACTTCTAATAGATGTGCCAATATTTTCCTCTCGTTATTTAAATCCTTCTGTTATTTAATCACAAATCTGCTTTCCTTTTTAAGGTAAATGAAGTTCATTATAGGGTTTGTCTATAGGGCAACCATTAAGATACATATTTTTTAAAATATAAGATTACTTAGGAAAAGTAAATAAATACAAAGGGAGGGCAGACAATATTAACTAGGAAAATATATAAATACAAGAGAAGATAATAATTGTTAGTATGTGTATATATATGGTAGGTTATGTGAATGTTAAATGTGTTGAGAAATTCCCTTAATTATATCTTCTTTTTTCCTAGTTATTTTAGTTTTCCCTTTTCAAATAGAGCTGTACTTACTTCTAGTGTTAAATACTCTAATCCAAAAGAAGGAGGTGAAACATGCACTGCCAGTAAGCATGTTAACTTCGGCATTTTGTAAAGTTGGCCTTGTATAACTAAAGTCTTACTAATTGTTTGCGCCTCCATTACTTGTTAAAAATAAGTCGAGTTCAAAGAACCTTAATGATTATTTGATGTTATGCAGTTTTATACTTTTGCCTACATAATATACAATCAGTGAGTTAAAATTGAGTTCTAATTGTTGCTGATAATGACACGCAAAACCCTTGATGAGAATTTGTCTAAATACTATTCCCTCCTTCCCATTTTGATATCCTTGTTTTCTTTTTTTTTATCTGTCCCAAATTATATTCTACTTTCTAGTTAAAAAATATAGTTAATTTTTAACCTCTCTAAAATGTCCTTATTTAATGTACTTTATTATCAATGAATATAACCTATTTTATTCATTAATTGTTTTGATTCATGCCTTGAATGGTGTTTCATCAATATTGTTGTTGCTATTAATGTAAAGGTATAATGTTTAGTTATACTATTAATATTAATGTAAGGAGTATTTTAGAAAAATAATATATTAGATGCACTTTTTAAATAAAGTTAATTAATTTTTTTAAACTATTTGAAAAAAAAAACTAAAACCATCAAAATGGGAGGGAGGAAATACTGTTTTGTAGCATTTCTTGACTCGATAATGATGTGCCCTTGTTCTCTTTCTTATTAAAGTGTGCAGTAATGATTTCCTTTTTTTTTTGTTAACCGTATTCGATCACTGATAGTTTCTATGCTGAGTCACTATGGTATGACAATTTTGTACTTGCAATTTGGACCTACTCTTGTCCTCTCTCTGTTGAATTTGTATAGCTATAAAAAGAAAAAAAATGAACAAAATTTACATATGATTTTATTTGTCCCTTGTATTCTCAGTTTGTCTTGAAACCGAAATTTTCAATCCATGTTCCATCCATAAAATTGTCATCATCCTATACTTCATCATATGCCCTGGCACCAGTTTGAATTTGTAGACTCTGCATTAGATTGACATTAATGTCATATTTATCTTTAATTATCCTGAATCCTTCCAAGTCGCAATGGCAAATCATTAGCTTAGCTCTGCATGTGACAGGTAATCAGATGATTGAGACAAAAATGTTTTCCAAATCATTATTATCTTTGCATAGACATGTTGTTTAGGGATAGGCATTTAGATCAGAAAGGTAGCCCTTCGGATCGTTCTCAAAGCCAGTCCTTGTCACTTGAATTCTGTGGCACGGTAAATTGTCATACTACTCGTGTCTCTCTGTTATTTTTAGGGATAATTTCAGAAACGTCTCTTGAGGTTTCTAACAATTTCACTCACCTCCCTTGAGATTTGTAAAATGACACTAACCTCCCTTATAGTGTTTAATTAGAGAAAAATTACTTATGTACCCTAAGATATTATGTCTTATTGGAAACTAGCATCTAGTAATTAAGTAATTAGGGTACTAATTAACTGTTAGTAACTAATTAATGAAAATACCTATTAGAAAACTTTTTAATGATGAGCAGTAACTTGCAATTACAAAATGGTGCTAATTGATGTACCAAATATTTGTTCGCTCTCAAAAATTGATACACCAAACAGTAATTTGTCTGGATATTTTGTACCTTTAAAGATCTTCACAGTTTCCTTACGATTACACTTGCAATATTTGTTTTTGATGCTAAAGGATGTGGGTGAATTTTATGATTTCCTCCTGTAGTTTGACAAGGCTATATTTTCTGCACCTATACTTTACCTTCAACGTGAGAAATCTACACAAAATCACTGTTTTTCCACCTCAAATTTTGCTGCTTGAAGTGAAAAAGAGATCGATCTTAATGCTTTTTGTTGCCTTTATATGCAAAATGGTAAAGGTCTTAAAAAATAGCCATCATAATCCAATGCACTAGCTGTTGATCTAACTTTGTAGAGAAAGTTAGTCGGTACTTATTTTTGGTTCTTTACTATTTGTACTTACCTTCCCTTACTTTTATTAATATGTTTTTCATTCCTTTACAATACAAGTTATACACAAGCATAAAGGGCATTTGTGGAATAAATGTTTTATCTCTCTTCTCAAAGTACTTTTTTAATGCATTTTTTTCTAATTTGGACTGATTTCGTTACCAAAACCTTAACTTTAGGGGAGGTTAATGTAATTTTACGAACTTGAATTGGATAAAACCAAAAAGGATTTTTGTAGCGGCCGCTCTATGATCAAATTAAATTGAAATTTCTAATCCTATCTTTGATTTGAGCATGAATGATAATTATCTTAACCAAAATAAAACACTCGTTAACAAAATTAACTTAGTGTCCTACTTATGAATCTTTGCCTTTTTTTTCTGGGAGGATGGGAGATATAATCATCTGGATAATGAACCACAATTTATACTACTGCATTACTTCAAACTTGTTACCTAATGGCAACTTAAGAATGGGTGGCAAAGGGGGCAGTTCTGGCGGCAAGGCGGTGGAGACAACGGAGGAGGGAATGGAAGATCTAGTGGCAGTGGTTTGTCTAAGGGCGGAGGCAATAGTGGTGCCCGCGGTGGACATATGAAAGCACCGGGCGACGATGGGTCATTTATTTCAAGAGCTGGATTTAAGGCAAATCCTCAGCTCAACATTTCGGGCTTACATGGTAGCCAGAGGGACAAATGGACTTTTACATTGACCAAAATGTTAGAATTTTTTAAATAAACATCAAATCTATGTTGAATTGTCAGCTCCATATGGTTTGGATCAACGAAAATTTTATTGAAGTATTAAACTATCTGTATTGCGTGGATTTTTTGCATTCCAATTTTGGTATTTTTTTTTCTTTAGCAATTACTTCATAAAAGGCAATGGAATTTATTGAAAGATAGTTTAATTTGGAGAGCACTTCCGACTCGTTTGATTAAGTTTTAGATCATAATTACATGCAAATATGGTCATATGACTACCTCCAATGGCCACCTACAAGCAACTTATTTCTTAGCATTTTTTTTTTCAGTTTGATATCTACTCAATTTTCTTGAGGCATATATATATATATATATATATATATATATATATATATATATATATATATATATATATATATATAAGTTTTGTAGAAAAAGAATGGTGGACATAATTCTGCAAGACCCGCACATATTAACTTTGTCACTTTAGTCGTTTTTTCCGTAAAAGACACTACTATTAGATGTTAGAGAATGCATAGTCTTTAAATTCTATGAATTATAGGCAAAGATCATTCTTCCCTTTAAATGAATATGAAAAAGAATGTTAACGAAAGAAGTTTTTCCTTGACTGCCAACACGAAACCATACCATCTCATGGGAATTAATTAAAACTGGCTTAGTAAGTTTGAGTAGTAAAATTTAAATCAGATGTACGACACTACAAATTTCAATTGTTACCACCAAAGCGCATTAAACAAATAAATAAATCAAAGAAAAAGTTTTTCACCTTCAAAGCCATGCATAACTATCTATAAGTGCAAAACATCTTATAAGGTCTTAGAAAATTCTTTTTTCCCTCCTTACAAAAGTAAAGTCTTAAAAAATGTTAGAAAAATGATTCAAAATGTCTCTTATATTTCGCAACATGACTTTTTTGTCCCTCACTTTTAAAAGTATAATTTTACGTCTTTTACAAATTTACATTGATTAAATTTGATACCTACCCAAGTTTTCGAATAGTTTTTAGTCGGAATCAACCACATGCTTTACACATAATCATTTTTTAGGGGTAAAATTATCAAATTAAATTTCACATAATCCGATCCACAGTCTCTCATTTTCACAAAGTGAATTTTTTGAAAATTTTAAAGATTATTACACAGATAAAAGCATATGGAAAATAAATTTTTTCCCTTTTCTTCCGGGAACCTTATAATATAAATTCCCTAATGATCTGTAATTCGTTTTTCAGATTCTTAGTTGGACTATAGATTGAACAGAAAAGTACGAGGGAATGACGTTCAAAATTTTAAGGATTAATCTTTATCCCCAAATATCTCGAAAAAAAGAGTACAAATTCCTTGAATTAGATGTCATATGCTAAAAAATCCGTGTAGTCAAATTAGTTTCCCCATGCAGTCATGCATTTGACTCTTAAATTCACAAGAAAATTTTATCATTTCAAGTGTAGAAATTAAATACATCCTAATCAAATTATGCCTATATAAACCCCACTCATCATCCAATCGAAGTATCGGCATCAAAATTGTAATAACTTCAACAATTACTACTATTGTTTAAGTGATCAACAATTAAGAGCATTTCACAAAGTGAATTTTTTGAAAATTTTAAAGATGATTACACAGATAAAAGCATATGGAAAATAAATTTTTTCCCTTTTCTTCCGGGAACCTTATAATATAAATTCCCTAATGATCTGTGATTCGTTTTTCAGATTCTTAGTTGGACTATAGATTGAACAGAAAACTACGAGGGAATGACGTTCAAAATTTTAAGGATTAATCTTTATCCCCAAATATCTCGAAAAAAGAGTACAAATTCCTTGAATTAGATGTCATATGCTAAAAAATCCGTGTAGTCAAATTAGTTTCCCCATGCAGTCATGCATTTGACTCTTAAATTCACAAGAAAAATTTATCATTTCAAGTGCAGAAATTAAATACATCCTAATCAAATTATGCCTATATAAACCCCACTCATCATCCAATCGAAGTATCGGCATCAAAATTGTAATAACTTCAACAATTACTACTATTGTTTAAGTGATCAAGATTGAAGAGCATTTGGAGATGGATAACAAGGGTTGCAGCAAAGAAACTGGAGCAGGTGCAGCAGGAGCTGGTGGTGGCAATAGCAGTGGTGGTGGGACTAACAAAGGTGGCAACAATGATCTGATCATGAAGGCTCCTGGTGCTGATGGTGCATATATATCAAGGACTGGCTTTGAGAACGATCCAAAGGGCTACTTTTCTGACCTGCATGCTAAGGAGAAGGCCAGCAAATGAAGAAGGGATGTTTGAGTATCTAAAGATAAATAAAAATGTTGACTATTTATGTACTTTCATCAACTCTTAAAATTTGGATCAATGGAGATGATATATTGAAGTATTAAACTACCGGTTTTGTGTTCACCCCATTTAGTTAATTTGTGGTTTTAAAGCATTCTTTTGCATTAAATAGTCCCCACATTTTCTTAAGGCCGAATAACCAATAACTATTTCGAAGCCAAATGCACACAAATTGAACACGGTTTACAGGTATGTTCTTCCTCAATTTCTACCATCACAGCTAATAAGGCGATGTTCACTCTTATCAAGAGGGTTATAGATAAAAACTAAAAAACAAAAACAAAATCTTCGTACATTCTGTACCAAAAATCCAACAATACTTCGCGACACGGCTGGAAGGGTCATTGTATTTCAAGGGGCCTTTTGAAGGAGGCCTTGGTTATATATATGTCAGCTATAATCTCAAATAATACCAAAAAAAAGCTTTAATCAAAAAGCAATAATTAATTTTTTGCCTCAAAGCTTCTCTGTTTCAACTAATAAAGGATCCTGAATATCTTCACGAAAATAGTGCCATAGCGGAAACATCATAATTTATTCCTTGCCACTTTTTTGCTTTTTTGTCAAAAGCAGTATTTAATTTCATTTCTAGCTTGATAACATAAGGTTTGTTATAAAAGCGTTACTACCCGAGTGATCTTTCTGTGCACTCTATTCTTGACCATGAATTGGATTGGTGCATAAAAAAAAAGAGGTGAATTTGAATTTGGCCCTCTAAAATAGACCAACTTACCAATTCAACTTACCAGTTCAACTAAACACTTAAAACTGCAAATTTCGATCCAAATGACGCTTTGTGTCAATTCACATGTGTTTATTAATTAAAATTTCGTCAAACTTAAGTGGCATAATGAATTCCTAGCAACTTTGTTAGGGAAGGGCTTTAATGAGATACAAAGGAAAAAGATAGTGAGTGCTCTTTTGATCAGTTTTGAAAGATTTGAGATGGCAGATTAACTTTTTTTTTTTATTGGAAGAGCAACAATTTATCATTCTTAACTCATTTAACTTGGAGATTAATTGCTTCAAACTTCTTGAAGTTAGTAGGGTTTCACTTTGAGACAAAAATTGATGGAAGGGATCATTTGGAACAAAATTTCCAATTGGAGGGCTTAACTATGATGTAATCACATTTAAGGGTTGAATTGATAATTTGGTCAACTTTGAAGGACCAAAAACAGATTATCAAAATGAATTTTCACCCTTTTTAAGCTAGACCTGGAGATTATTGACAAAACCACAAAAATGGCTACAGTTGAATCAATGATAAACATCTTAAATCAAAATAAAACAATCTCAAGAAAATCAACTCGCCATCCTACTTTCAAATTACTTTTGTTTGTTTGTTTATACAACTTCCTCTAACAGACTCATTCCACTTTCACACAGATTAAGAAGAATAGTTAATGTAATCATTTTTGCTTAGTACTTTCCTTATGTGCCCTTCTATTAATCCTTTGTTTTAGTGTTATACTACAATTTATTATTTATAGTAAAATGGCTAACTAATTAAATAGCATACTTACTAATTAAGATACAATTTAACTATGGATATAGAAGTAAATCCATACACTAACCCACACTTCAAAAAAAAAAGCCTAAATTAAACACAGAAAAAGGGGCCTATATATCTTATTGAACGGAGAGAGTACTATTTTGTACTTCTTTCCCACCCCTCATCCCCAGTATCTAGGGTCCATGAACTAAATTTATTATGCTACAGAATTCGAGTTAAATTTACCATCCTACGGAATTCGAGTAGTCCAAATATTCTCAACATGCATGCATTACATTAATTTGGGCTATCACAAAATTTTTCCTTCTTAATGGAGTTGATGATTCCAAGACAGCGTTTGACTGACTTCTTATCAAAATTTGCCTATATAAACTGACCAGTCTTGGCATAATGATCCATCCGCGAGCAGCTTAGTGCCATACTGGTATATAATTTGCTTCAAAGTTGTTAGCTAAATAGCAACTTAAAAATGGGTGGCAAAGGAGGAGGAGGCAAAGGCGGGAGTTCTGGAGGAGGAGGCAAAGGCAGTGGAGGCAACGGAGGAGGGAAAGGAAGTTCCGGTGGCGGTGGATCGTCCAAAGGCAGCGGCAGTGGTGGTGCTGGCGGTGGATATATGAAAGCGCCTGGTGGTGGTGGCTCAAATATTTCAAGAGCTGGATTTGAGGCAAATCCTCAAGGATATTTCTCGGGTTTACGTGGTGACCAAAAGGGCAAATGAACTTTTATATTGAATAAGATGTTGGAATCTATTAAATAAACATCAACCCTATGTTGAATTAGCTTTATATCGAAGTATTAAACGATTTATATTGCCAGGAATATTTGCTTTCAATTTTGACATCTTTTTTATTTTGCAATTATAGAAGGCAATGCTATGAATTGAACTAGAGTTTACATGCAACTATGGCCATATATATGACTACCTACAATGACCATCCATAGCACTGTTTTCGGTTGGATAATTACTGAATTTTCTTCAGGCATAGCATATAGCCATCCATATATGCTTATGATAAACTTTTGTTTAAAAAAAAAAAGAATGAGTGGGCATTATTTTACAAGACTAAACATATAGACTTTCTCACTTTTGTCCTTTTTTTTTCCCAAAAAGACAGTGCTACTGTATATTAGATGTCAGAGAATATATAAATAAGAAATGCAAAGTCTTTTCAATTGATCAATTAACTCTAGGCAAAGCTCATTCTTGATTTCTTTCTTCTCTCGTTAAATAAAAATAAATGTCAAAAACAACGAAAAAAAAAACTAACCAAAAAGTTTTTCCTTGACTGCCAACACGAAGTCAGAACATCTTACTGGAGAATTAAATAAAGGCATAATTTCAGAAACCTCCCCTAAGGTTTCTAACATTTACACTTACCTCCCCTGTGGTTTGAACAATTACACTGACCTTCCTTGAGGTTACTAATCCTTTACAAATTCAGTCTAAATGATTAAAATATTATTTTAGAGAGTGAAATTAGAATTTTGTACCTGATTTGTCCTTTATGCCACATGTCCAATGAATGGCAAAGTATTACAAATTAATTAACAATTAATAAATTTTAACAAGCGTAGTTTATAGGCAAATACGTATTGCCTATTTAAAGAACCAGCTTTTTACATGAATTTTATTTTCAAACATTTACTTTATCACAAATATTTATTCTCAAATACAGATTTGTATTTACTCTCAAATATTTAATTTTTGTTAATTACAAAACCTACCAGTTTTTCTTCCGTAGAAATATTAATATAACATTTTTTTCAATTTCAATTACAAATATTTATGTATTTAACAGAAATTAAATGATTCAGAATAAAATACTCATAAAGAGCTAATATTTTACTTTTGTAATGGATGAAAGCCATAAAAAATTAACATTTTATAGGCCATTTCTTTTTTTTTTAAATTTTAATTTATATTAAATAGATAACCTATCGATTTTCTTTTTACAAGAATATTATTGTAACACCTTTTAATTTTTAATTACAAATATTGATATATTTATTGTAAATTAAATATTTAAAAATAAAATACCTGTAAAGAGCCGGTACTTTAAATAAATTATGCGTGTTTGCCTATAAACTACACTCCTTACTTAAATCAATAAACTACACTCCTTAACTTAAATCAATAAACTATACTCCTTACTTTAAATAGTGTAGTTTATAGGCAAATACGCATATCCTATTTAAAGTATCCGCTCTTTACAGATATTTTATTTTCAAATATTTAATTTATGATAAATATATTAACATTTGTAATTAAAAATTAAAAAGTGTTAAAGTAATATTCTTGCAAAAAAAAATCAGTAGGTTATCTATTTAATATAAATTAAATATTTTTTAAAAATAAATGGCCTCATAAATTATTAATTTTTTATGACTTTCATCCATTACATGAGTAAAGTATTGGCTCTTTATGGATATTTTATTCTGAATCATTTAATTTATGTTAAATACATAAATATTTGTAATTGAAATTGAAAAAGTGTTATATTAATATTTCTACAGAAGAAAAACTGGTAGGTTTTGTGTTTAACAAAAATTAAATATTTGAGAGTAAATACAAATCTGTATTTGAAAATAAATATTTGTGATAAAGTAAATGTTTGAAAGTAAAATACATGTAAAGAGCTGGTACTTTAAATAGACAATACGTATTTGCTTATAAACTACGCTCGTTAAAGTTTATTAATTGTTAATTAATTTGTAATACTTTGCTATTCATTGAACATGTGGCACAAAGGACAAATCAGGTACAAAATTTTAATTTCACTCTCTAAAATAATATTTTAATCATTTGGACTGAATTTGTAAAGGATTAGTAACCTCAGGGGAGGTCAGTGTAATTGTTCAAACCACAGGGGAGGTAAGTGTAAATGTCAGAAACCTCAGGGGAGGTTTCTGAAATTATCCCTTAAATAAAACCGCCTTTGAAGTCATCGTGAGTAGTTTCCAAATCTAAATTAGAAGTATGACTCTATTAAGTATTACCAACAAAGTTCATTCTCTCATTAAATCCAACCCCCCCCCGGAAGCCCTGAAAAAAGAAACTATTTTCACCTCTTAAAAGAGGAAAGTTTTAAAAAAATGTTGTTGAGATGTCTTGAATTAGATTTTCGACCTTCGCTGAGTTGTTCGGGTTTTTCGAGTCTTGTTTTGGGCTTATTTTTGGGTCCAGTCTGTTTGGTTATATATATATATATATACACCTTATTTTAGTCTGTAAACTATTCCGATTACAACCTTAATAAAATCTGATTTCCCCCAAGTTGTTCTTGTCTGTTCTTGTTTGTTCTTCTGTTCCGTTGCATCTGCTATAACAAACTGGTATCAGAGCTCTAGGTTTGTCCTAGGGCTCGGATCACGCAACAACATATCTGCTTTGAACATCAAGATCGACAAGTTCACCGGGAGA